TCGTGACTTTTTAGATTATATCCTTCCCTGAATTCTTAGTTCGTTTATGGTGAGATTGATAAAATATATTGAAAGATTAGTCATGAAAAGAGAAACGTTGCTAGTCATGCGTATTACTAACGTTCGACGTTTCTTGATATAACTTAGATATTGATTTTGTTTTCATTTTCAGAATTTTATTTCTCATATCAACCTCAAAATGAACACAAGTATGCTTCTATTGTTTACATTTATTTTTGCCAGTTGTCATTGATGACATGACGATCAGGCATCAATCAATGCATAGATGCATTTACACCACATGATCCAGAATGATTCATATGATCTAATTTATGGAAACATGAAAAAAACACTTCATTTAAGATGATTGTACACACTGATCATTGATTAAAAGTTGTAAATAAGCCATTGATTGGAGGACTTTCTGATACTAGTTTTTTTATCGATTACCAGATATTGTCTAGGATTCTTCAATTTAAGTAAACATGCTTTACTCTTTATTTACCAAATTACCAGATGAGAATTCGAAAAAGCAAGCAATACAAATTGTAGTAATCCAAAAGTATTGATCATTGAACAGCGACAAACGGATCTTAGCAAAATAGTTTAAGTGATTAGACAGTTTATATATTCTGCAAAATCATATACATAATTATATGCAAAACCGTTTTTTTGGGATCAATTATGACTTCCTAAGTGAAATAACTCTTGAGATTATAACGTGAATTACGGTTCTATATGATTAAATATTTGCAACCAGCAATCTTAATATCCGACAGCTCATAATCATCGGACTATTTACATACTAAATCGTATTTATTAGCAGCTGCTTAGTTTTTTTGATAATGATGCTAACTAACAGTCAGCTAATCATATCCAAATCAAGTCTACTTTTGTTACTTTTCTGATTATCATTATTCTATTACAAAAGCGACACTTATTTTGTTATTTCAGAAAACTAAATAACAGATATTTATTGCCGAACGTCAACTAAATATTCAAAACTACCGAATCAAATAGTCAGTAAGCCAACTTGTGTATAAACTTAGTGGAAAATCAGATTGATGAGTAATATTTAAAGGTTTTGTTCAACTTCAGAACAACGGAGTGATGATTTTTGAAAAACAAATCGATTCCTTTGTAAAAGAAAATCAGTCATCCTCATCACCTACAGCAAAATAACAATCATATTTTTTTTACCTTAATCGATAATAACGTGAGCATAGTCAAAACAACTGCCCACGTTTTGTCACCAAACTCTATTTAATGAACAATGAACCGTTGTGTACACTTGATACTCCCCATACTCAGATATATATACTTCTTTGGTGACAAAATGTTCTCACCTGAAAATACAATATTTCTGCTAAAAATAGTAATTTCACTTATAACACTAAATAAATATATCCTGAAACATTGAGTATGCCTTTTGACAACAGCTTTTGTAACTAGGTAAATTCATAATAACTATTAGAAAATTAAACTCTTTGATGGTCAAGTAATTGTTTAATTGAATAATACGTACATAAAAATGAAAGCCTCATTTAAATTAAATTGGCTTTTGGTTGTTGATATTGATCTGAATTCTCTTCGTTTGAAACTAGCTCATAGAATTAATTTTTTTTGGTAAAATAAAGACTGACTGCTCAACTAACCAGCAAGAATACATAAACTGAGATTCGAATCGTTGTTCAACTGAACGATGCTGTACAAAATATAGCTCGACAAAATGTCTTTCAGTCGTAGATCGAAACTGTGATTTAGAATAAACTATTAGGATTAACATGCCATTTCCTAAGTAACGTTTTCACAGGAAATGACAATCTACAAATTTGTAATATTCTACTGTATGGAAAGGACGAATGATTTTTCACATGGTGATTTCGCAAGCATCCAACTGTATCATTACTTGCTTTTATTTTGTACATAAGATCTATTTTAGCAAATGAAACCTTTAAAAATTATCTTCCTCAAAATACAATCTGTTTTCTGTACAGTTTAAGGGAATCTGGACTTCACTGTTCAACTTGCATTTAATTTTCTAGTGTTTTATACAGTTTAAAATTGTTTTCAAGGTTAATTAAACTAAGAAATCACAGTGAAGATAATCCCTAATGTAAACATATCTCTTAAGTAATAAAAATTTTTAAATTAACTCCAACAAACTTCTAAACTTTTATCTTTATTTTTGCTGTTAATATTTCGCCCGTACAAGCAGACGTTAACTTTAAACAAAAACCAGTTGGTATGTAAATGGTCAATTCCAGTATTTCAAACCAGACTATGTCAAATTTTATCTAATTTCAAAAAAAAGACATTGAAATTTATTGAAATTTAATTTTCTAAACATATTTCAGTGTCCAAAATGTATTTGATTTATTAGCTTTAATGAAAATGTTAAGAAAAGAATAATTAACAAAAAATCTTACTGTTTTTCACACGCACTTTAATTTTCCATTCTGTTCAGTACCAATCTTAGCAAATTGTAATGAACATACATGAGATTATTGTATGATCATACTTTGTAGAAAACTAGTAGTTCCCACTAGGAACAATAAATTGTAAAGCACTTCTGAAAATCATTACTTTATTTCGCATATCAGTACTTTAAAAATATGAACACATCTCTATTTGTACTACTGTTATTTTCTCTTGAATGACCTTTTTTTAAAAAATCCATCTTGCTTCACAGAACACAGATGGCTAAACAATTATCAATTTATATCTCTTGGATTCAGCAAATCTATTTCATTACTTATAAAATGATATTTAGCTGAAATGTAAAACCTTGAAAAAATTAATTTTTATTTGCCTATAATTCGTGTCATTTAAACCTACTGCTACATTCACCCTAAGTTGTTTGTCTGACAATCTCCCAAATCAAAGTTTTGACTGCTTGAAACTCTTATTCCTACCGTTCTTCTAGAAATCTGATAGATTTAGCTAGATTTATTTGAGAATTTTAATAAATTTAAAACAATTAGTCCCCTTCATAAATTTCGACAGAACAGTGAGAAGACGTAATTGATCTAAAAAATGTGATGTATTTGCGCTATACATTTTGAACAATCTGGTCACAAATATTTACTTGTCAAGGCATTTTAGCGTTGGAAATAGAAAATCATGTTCATCGATCGCAAAACACATAATTAAGACAGGACATAAGATTGACATCAAGACAGCCTTCAAAACATTATATAGAAATGTTGAAGGACGAATTTTGAGGTTTATGGCGGCCTTGGCTATTCGAAACTTAAGATCCCCCTTTTGTGTGCAGAAACAATTTGTCATACCCTTGAATTTACCCTGGTAATCTTTAAGCCTAGAGTAATGTGACAATTTTCCTACCCTTTCCTGTTCCTTTCATATTACGCTAATTTTCTCTCTCCTTTATTTACAATTATCACCTTTTGTCTATTTGAACTTTTATTTAATTGACCTTTTATTAATTTTCACATTAAAATGCCTTGAAGAGTAATTATGCGTGACCAGATTGTTCGAAATGTATCGCGCAAATACATCACATTGTTCAGATCAATTACGTCTTCTCACTGTTCTATCAAAATGTTAAGCAAGTTGCAAAAACTGATCAATCTATTTATTCCTATGCACCTAGTTAGTGTGAAGAATTCACAACTTAAGATATGCAATAATTTAACAATTTTTAACTTAATTTTTCACTTAATTTGTGAACACTCAGATGTAAATACCTTTTTTCGGCAAAAGCTAAACGCCATTCAATTTTATTTACAGGTATTTCTCGGTTTGTTTCACCCCACACCATCATGCAAATGATGTATGAGTTTTAAAATCATTTTGTTTTTCCAGTGACGGACTAAAAGCAGAATAACCCTACTACGTTTATGGTTCCGTTAGAACTTTTTTTGTAACCAGCTTTATATAAGGTTTAAAACTTCAGAACTAAAATTTTTATAACAGCTCATCGACAGAGGTAAGGAATACGTATAGTAATTCATCTAAAACAAATTTAGAAGAGAATGCTATATTTCGGTTTTTATTTTTACATAAAGCTGTAATAAAGTGAACATATTTGAAAAAAAAGGAAGAGAAACTTGAGTATAAACCATCTTTAGATATGTTTTTATCGTTTATAAGTACAATATAAAGAAGCATTTGTGATGATGAAATCTCAACTAATCGATATCTCTTATAGTTTGCAGTAATAAATTACTACTTGCTTTAACATATATGTTCTAAACAAAAGATTTTCATACTCAATTCTGTATGAAATAGCAATGACTGTTATCAAGGGATGCAAGTAAACGTATTCGCTAATGTTTTTTATTATGATCATTTGAAATTAAGATTCAAATTAAGATAGGTATTAGATACAGTACGAAATGGCAAGAATTCACGATAGTGAACATTTATTTATTCAAGGTAATCAGTCAATTCACTGAAATCACTAATCTATCAAAGTAAGATTACCCTTTGCAAGCAGCCACATCAATGACGCTACAAGTAGATATAAAATCTAGGACCTTAGAAGCGAATGCTATACCTGTAAGGCACTGAGTTGGCATCCAACGATGATAGTGTTTAACTTCAATTAGTCTATGATAATACACGACAATCTACCATTGTGGTCTAATGATAACTCCCTCATATCCGATGCGGAAATTTAAAAATCTCTACAAATTGATGCTGACAATAATCGTGTAATCTTTAGTCACTAGTAGTGACTAATGGATATAAATCCTGCCTAATTTGAGACAATTAGTCACCGAGGAGAATGGAAGATCGTGACAAAGTGTTGTGGACTGACTGAAAATCGTCGTATGCGACTCAGTTGTTAAGAATTTAGGCGTTGGCACGCAAGACTGAAGGATCCAAGATCGACTCCCGCCAGTCCGGTTCTTTCAGGTTTTTGGTGATGACGTAGCACTGATCAGTTCATATTGAAAAACAATGCATTGAACACAGTAAAAAAACTTTCATTAAAAAGGAGAACTACATTTTACATGCTTATTTCATTGTACATCTACTTTAAAATTAATTACCAAAAATATTGCTGTTATTTTCTCTTAGTTTGTTCAATTATAATTTACTGAGCAAGTCGACTAAATGTCTTAAATAGTAAGAGCTTTCATTAAAAAAGTACTTTAATTGTACATTCTTTCGTACAATTGTTCTATGAAGCATATTTCAAAAGTCGATTCGGGATACTTTTTCTTGCAGTTGCTCTAAGCTGTAATTAAATGTTCCGAAGGATGATGTGTAGCTCCTGTTTCAATACATGATCTTCGTTCCCTCTGACGTTCAAGCTCATCCCAGAATGTTTTCAAGGACTTGAAACAAATTTAATACAAGTAAAAATAACAGTAATCACTATCAAATAAAATAATTGGTTTAAATAATATCATATCACTATACCAGTTAGGCGAATGAGTCATTCATTGTGAGTATTATTAAATTTTAGGTAATGTAATCTAGAGATTACTCTGTAGGCTATTCAGCTACAATTGAGTTTGAGAGATGAGATAAATATTTTCACTTCTATAGCGAAGCGAAGTGTCACCAGTGATTTTAAACTAGTGAGTTTTATCGGTAACGAACGTTAGTAATGACACTCTTTGTATAATAAGCCGGTGTTAGCAACTTTTCAAAAAATAATAAGTTCTGTCATAAGTGACAGCTACCGTCAACTAACGGCTATGGAATATATCCACTCGTTTTGTTTAAGCCGTTATTTAGTTTTATTCAACACCTCGATTCAGAGAATTCTATTTTATACATTCGATTTGATTTATTCTGGTGTGTAATAATTCCTTGAACATTATTAGACAAACGGACTACCGTTAATACTTAGAAAACTTACAATTGAGTTTTGAGGTGTGGACTGATTTAAACTCACATATATTTTGTCAGCTAAATAATAGTAAAAAATTAATTCATGAAATCAGTGATATGTTTTTCACTATTATAGTGTATTACGGAAACTAATGAATTTCATAGTTAACATCATAGGCTGATTTCATTTAGACAGCTACTGAAAACCAGCAAACAGCTAGTTCATTACAATATAGAAACTCTCAAGTGACTTACACACACATATCCGTATCGATCTGTTGGGGATTTTAAATCCCTAGAACTCGCTTGTTTATTTTGGATTCCATGTTTGCGAGCATGGGGTGATCAGATAACCTTGAGATTTCATTTCCCACCAGGAAAATTCTTGGCTGTGATTGGCTGCTGTGTTTTTTAGTGTGCTATTTTTGTAACTATCCCAAGGACGTTTCTATGATGTATAAATAAACGAGATTTGTTTGCTTGTTTGCAATGCGCTTGCTGGATGTTTGTAGAAAATACTTTCTACGATTATCAAGACTTCTCTTTCGCCGTTTTTGGGTCAAGGTAGCCTACTTGGATGCTGGTTCATTGTCTCGTTCGCGTTTATCGACTGCGGTGAACCAGTTATATTTTCAAGCATACCTAGTGACGAACCTAACACGGTCTAAACCCAAGACCTTCAAGTCTTTCTGGTTAAGTGGATATCCGAAAAAAGATTGTATAAACTGGCTAATAAATGATTAAAGTGTCGTTTGTCAAAATTGAATCTACTTGATTTAGGTGCACAGCAGCTTTTGTTTTCAATAAGTTGAAGACTTTTGTTGTAATGTATTCTTCTTACAAATTTATTTTATTAATATCTTATCATTTAGGAAAAAAGTTTTCCTCCTGTTCATTTCACTCACTACATAACTAATGTAGCATTCTTTAAATATAGAACTAACTTTCGCTGACGTTTAGATCTGCTCACTAAACAATTCTGTATCATGTGACATATCATATGTCTGAATAACTTGACTTCGGAAAGACAAAACTCATATATTCTAGCAAGATTTTCGACCATAGTATTTTTCTGGCAGAAAGTACATTTTTGTATCAAACTGAATGATATAAGAAAATTTTTTCTTGAAAAGCATATCGTTACTTGAAATTAAAGCCATTCTCAAAACTATCAGTTTTCAGTCAGAGGACTGTAAATTTTTTCAAGTTACATTTGGTACTTTTTATCTTTTATAAATGTGTTGAATAAGTTGGTGTTTGTTGAAAATAAAATAAACATATTTTGAATATTACTTCATCGTATACGACTCTAAATTGTAATAATCAAGAGTGTTAACACAAGTTTTGAAGTTTAGTTATAGTTACCTTCGTTACTAGATCGTTCAAATATCAGAATAAATCAAGCGGTTTTCTCCTTTAGTAGCCACAATATAAACTTATTCATACTAAAAATCACTCACTTCATTCTGTTTATTTTTAACACCTTTATTCACGTATTTTCTGAATTTTTGTGACTGATCGCTTTTTGCATACTTGTGTCTTTCTTCTCTTTGTTTACTCAAATAATCAAGTAATTGCTGCATTGACTGATCATTTTTATATATGTCTTCCTTTGTCACTTTGCAATTATCAATGAGAGGATTTCTGAATTTAAAAAATAATAAAAGCTAGATGAATAACCTTTTTGAAGTCGGTATTATTACTTTTCTGATGAACCGTGCTTTGTATCGAACTTAGGTCTTACTTGATTTCATATTACCGTTTTAGGGTATAAGTCACTTATTCAAGTAACTACAAAATAAGATAAATAACGACAAAGAGTAGGTAGAAATAATTGAAAACATGACTTTGTTTAGGTTCCGTCATATCAGTCAACAAGATGAATGACATTTGACAGACGCTTGCCGAAATGAAAATGTATCGAAAAATTTATGAAAATGTGATGTTTCTTAGGTATAAATAAAATGCATTTTTTTTAGACAAACGTCATTTAGTTCGCCCCCATACTTTCAGTTATATAATACTATAGACATGAATCTAAACACGGGAACTTATTAATGAAGAAATGAAGTTAAATAATGCCAAATCGTTTTGAAAACTGAAAAAAATACTTCAGTAGTACATATCTCTCTAGTTACCATTGTTTCCTCCCATCATGATGAATAGAACATTCAATTCTAAAAGGGATTTAGGCCCTATCACAGACTCGGCTGCCCATTTTGGTTAAACGTAGAAATGAAGAAGCATCAGGTGTAAAGATCAAAATCAATTTACCGTCCAGATGAGTTTGTTTGACACAGATTCAAAGGTGGGACGTTTTTGTTTGAACCTAGTTTGACTTACTCTTTACGTACGAAAACTATACAACTAACAAACAACTCTCACCGTTTAAGTTGAAACAAGATATAGAAGCAAATGATTACGCTTTCGTTTCAGTTCCTATAAGGTCTTTCATTCAAAATACACTAACATTCATATACACTTAGGCAGAATATTTAACCACTAAAGGGGATTGTAGGTCACTTGTGATATTATGGGTAATTTAACCAATCATAAGGAATAAAAGTGATATTATGATAACAGTTGTCTTCATTGTTGTCGTCGCCGTAATAATAATCAAGATAATAGTAAAAATTCTACAATTATATACACATGTTTTTAGAATCACCATCTGCGTAACTTTTCAATTTACTAATCCAATAACGTCACAATTTTCAGATATCATACTTGTAAATCTTGTTTTATTTTCCCAGAAAGGATACTAAATTGTTTTCCAATTAAACAGATGAGCACAAATTGCGGACACACTTATTTCGAAACATGATACTAATAATACAAAAACAGGAGTTTTGACTATTAAGAATGAATAATTTAGGCATTCAGTAATATTCATTCCAAATGGAAAAAAATTATGTTCGTTACAACAAAACGACAAATAAATGTGGCACTATATATATCCACTAGAGTATTTCAACCGTATTTAATTAATTAGCAGTAAATTCGTACTATTTTTATGACAAATCCCTGTGGTTTAGCCAATACAAAGTACAGCCATTGAATTAGAATTTAGATCAAAGTTGTTTGAGATACTATGAGCCTATTTAAGAATTAGTCATTAACGTAGGATTTGCTCCAATGGGGTTTGACCTATCTTGCTCCACTGCATCGGTACAATGAGATGAAATTAACAAGACGAACACGAAGAGGGTAGTAACCGTAGTATCAGTGATGTTAATCCCAATCACAGTTTTTCAGATTTCAGTTAAATACTGCCACTAAAGTAATATCTATAAATAATGTAATAGTTTAAAGAAAATAATACAAGGCATTTGTTTTTCATAATTTAATTGTAAGTTGACAATAAATTTAATCGGTCACGACGATTAGTGAGTGATATAGTAGTGTCACTTATCAATGTTCTAGAGTACCCGTCAATTTATAAACGAATTATTTCAGATACAGAAGAATAAAGTTTAACTATGAAATTATGTTATAAACAGTACAAAAAGAATAAATTAATGAATATTACTGTAATTCGTTATGTAATGTTGTACATAATGTATTTTTTTGAAGTGGTAAATAGAGGAAATAATTAGAAATTACCACTAAATAGAGTATTTTGACACTTTTCAGTGCTGACTAATGAATTAAAATTTATGTTTCTCATTTCAGTATATCAAAACACAAAGAACAAAATAAAGCCTCATCTATTGTATTTAATCATACTTTTTTAAAAGTATTTCTTAGATATTGTTGCAAAAATGTCAAGCTGCTTGATCTGTTCAATCTCCGAGGTTGAGCTTCACTCAAATATCGATTTTTGAGTGTTAAAAACATCATGACCTAACCTAAATTTCACTGACAAATTTATGATATTTAACCTTTCCACTAATGGGTAAGTAACTGGAGTCAGAAACAAATCAACAATAATCTCTTCGAAGAAAATATGCTAACATTGGAAAAGATCACGGAGAATTGTATTCACTCTAATGAAAACAATTCAAAAACGACTGTAAAGTCGTTTGAAAACAGCTTTTTAAGCATAGAAATTTATTTTTACCCATTTGAAATACCGATTTTTTCTAAGCTTCTAGGTATGTTTTTAATTCATATCATGAGTACAAACTGTTTAAAAAATTTCCAGCAACATGAACACAACTGATGGGTTTTATTTAAATATTTTACTATGGATGAGAAGAGTATAGTGATATTAAAAATGTTTTATTAAAATAAGAATATCTAACTAGTACATTATTAAAATATTATAAAAAAAGAGAAATATTAAAATTGAATAAAGTGGTATATTGTTACTATTTTTCATGTTTTCAATCAATCAACAGCAACGCAGAACTTCGTACGTATGTACATCAGTTCAAGTTGCCATACTGCATTAGCACAGAGATGCAATTGTCAAATCAAATCCCATAGTAGTAGAGGTAGTAAAAGTATTAGAAGTAATCGAAGAGATTAGGATTCGAAGATATTATTCAAGAAGCAGAATTTAGTGAAACAAACTTAAAAAGAAAAAGATAAGGGTGATGAGGAATTCAGAAGGTCAGGATTTGAGACAACACAAAAAATGAATGCTCCAGCGCCATCGCAAACGATTGCGAGGTCTTAACCAGGTAGTCGACATAAACAGTTAAACAAAATCATGAAGTGAAATAACGTCTGTGGACGGTGAATGAATAAACTGTGATGAACAAAATTTAGGATCGCAATAGGTATTGCTAACATTTCAAATATAACTCATTGACTCAAAGTGCATGACACAACTAAGATCAGTCCTCAAGAATACTTCAAAGAGTGCAACATATCAATTGTTAAAAATATGTGGAAAAATCTATACCATGATGCGACAAAAATTCTAAATAAGAGTGACTAATTAATTATGATTTCATTAATTAGCTCCTTCTATTATTAAAGATCCTAAAAAATTTAATTGATGAGTGCCTACACACATACTGATCGCATTATCCAACAACCAGTCTAGAATCTCGATAAGCTTTATGAGAAAAACTCCATTTTATTACCTAAACATATCTATTAGTAAATGAAACTATTAGTTTAGAAATTAATTATAAATTTTTAAGTATGGTATCAGTCAGTCAATAAACAAAATACTTGATTGACGTATACTTACTCAATAGATATGATGATAATTAAAGTTAGTGATGCAAACACAAAGTTATTATTGCATGACTGCTTATCAACTACAATGAGTTTTTTAATTATAAAAAAAAAGTCAATGAATCATAATAATCTGATGAATTTCAAAATTAGTTTATCAATTCATTCAAACAACCAACGGAAACATGGTGAAAAATTAGTTAATTATTTTATTCACATCATTTGAATTTGAAGAATATATCGTGAGTAGAATTTCAATCTAGGGAAACACTGAAATTTAAATTTGAAACCAATTTAAAGCCTAATAAAATAAAATAATTATATTATTCCTTTTCAAACTTTCTGTCGTATTCACAACACTGTTACTGAAAAAAAAGAATTATTCGAGTAATTTGTGATGAGTAAGCATAATCACATGTTTGATTTTTAATTTTAGTAGGTGGATAAGAAAAGTTCACCAAGAGTTGTCGAAGAAACCCAACTTTTTGTTAGTAACGACAACGAGATCCAGTATTTTAGAAATAAACATAACCTATAGATCTAATTTTGTCGTTTGCTACCCAGAGATAACATCATAAATTACTATCATGCCTCTTTATGGATTCAATATTTAGATCACAGGCTTCAGTATGATTCGTTAGGCGAACAATGCCCGGTATATTGGCTCTCTAGGTTGTATTGTTGCTGATTTAAACCATAAGTGTTTAAACAAAAGTAGTCACTATTACAATTCTTTCTCCTTATGCATAAACTCTCATAGGCTGTGCATATTTTATTTCTTTATTCTTTAGTGTACTAAGCTTTTTTCTATGCAGGGTTAATAATATCTGATAAATCTAAATAAATTAAACTGTAAAATGTTTCGATATTTTAATGCTTGGTTTCCAGTTTTCATAAATATTTTTATTTTGAATTTAAATCTTTGCACAGACGATTAAACTAATGATAAACCAACACACTTAACAGTTTCAAATAGTTGACTGTTTTAGTTTCAATCGATTTATTCATAATTTCAATAATGTTCTTATTCTATTTTTTTTTCTGAATACTACACTATTTTCACACACATTTAAATTATTCTATAAACATAATAAACATAAATTGTCAAGTTAATTCAAGTGAAATTAACTATATATTATCAAACTTATTTATTCATTGAAATAAACAATCTCACAAGTTCTCATCAAAAATATATAATAAACATCATGAAAATATTTTGAACTTTTGTAAATTAATCAAATTTAATGAACCATATTGATGTTCAATTATAATGTTTTTAAAGCTATGAATAACAATAATAATAATAAAAATAATAATAATAACCTTTTGTTTAACTACTAACAGCTTGTTACAGTAAAGTATATGGCGCGTGGATACTAAACTTCTATAAAATAACATTCAATTAATAAATATTATTCATCCGCACTATTTTAGATCGATTAGTTCAGCTAAAAACACTAAATTTTACAAATGACATTCCTTCCGATCATTGAAGAGAAACAAAAGCTCTTTAATATATATTAATTGAACTACACTTCTATTTATTATTTATTATTAACGAAATGTCAAAAATGTAAAACTTTTTTATTTTCTTTTAGGTCATTATTATTTAATCTTGTCTTTAGATTGCGTTATACTGTGTTGGCCATTGTATCACTTGTTTTGTGACGGTTGATATCCAACCTGTTCTTAAACTTTGTAATTCGCTCCTCTAGGCAATCGTCACTGAGGAGAGACTGACAGTTACAAATCAGAAGGCAAACACGTGGTGTTGAATACATTTATTTTCGGCCTACCACAAGAGAACCAGCAGACCACAAGCACGTAAAGTAGGGCAAGCACACTAGCGAGCGAATCGGCGAATGAAGTGAAGTGGAGAAGGCTAGTGAGCCAACTCCATTAGGTAAAGCATGACAAAAATAAGACAGATATGTAACAAGCAGGATAGGTATGCACACACATGAATAAAGGTGATGAATGGCTGACAACGTCGAAAGACAAGTGGGACGAGTCGTGTGAGCTAGACAGTGAATAATGACTCACTACAATACTAACCAAATACTGGCAAATGTGACAATCCATGTTATTACGAAACAGAAAGTAATCAATGTTGTATTGCTTCTGAATGAAGATACTTTATTGATTGTTTTATAGTGTTGCTATTTTCAACGGCATGCAACAACATTATCTTTATATCCTCTATAGGAATTATACATTTATAATAACCGTGTCAAACATTAGCAAAATCCACTAATCAATATTTATCATCATCAACACTACGATGGTAATTCGACTGATAAAGCTAAATTTCAATTCAATCCATAATAACTATTCCAATGATTATGACCAAATATTTCTGACTTTAACTGTTAAAACAATCATCGAGATTGATTAAAATTAGAAATTTAATTTTACTGTTCTTTCTTTAAATTATTTTGAAAATTTAAATTTGAACATTTTAATCATTTTCACAAGTATACAAATAAATTTCTAAATAATTAAATCTAGAAACCATTCTACAGTCGATAAAAAATCTCAAAATACGCAGACTATTTATTAAATATGACATTTAGAAAGAAAACACTTGACTAATACGTTTGTAATTCCAAAAATATTCATGCAATAAAAATTCCTAAACTTCAATAGTAACAAATATTTTATGGTTTTTTAATGAATAATTTCACTTTCTACTTGTATTTTAAAAGTTGCATTTACCAGTACTACAAAATTAATAAAAAACCTCAATGTATTTCAGTGATATAGTTTGAAAACTAGGCCTATCTACACAAACCAACTAACACCTTACAACTGGTTGCCTTTATGATTGATCTTCTTTAACGTTAAAAATGAAAAAATCTTGGTAGTTGATGTTGTACACATTAACACTGTTTCCTTGTAAGCTTATTCTCTACCAAACAAAGACAGGTCGATACCGATATGTGTAAAGACTCGAAATCCCGAATTACAATTATACCTGATAATACTGTTGTGTAATTAATAAATCAAAGATTTCACAAATGATTATATTATTCAAACACTGAGTAGTTAACTGATATCATTGGTTAACACTCTCTATAGTCCATTTGTTTCAGTCTAATGGGATAATATACTTAATGTAATGTTGTGATTGACGTCACGCTCAAATATTGATTATGACATTAGCTGAAGAAATACTAAAAACCAATGGCCACTCAACCGCTCTTCTTCTATTTTGTCTATGGATCTCAGGAAGGTAACGTATTGGATTCTAACGCAATGGTTCAAGATATCAAACTCAATACTAAACTTGAATATTCTGTGTGGTAACTATTGCACACTGTCAAGGAATTCTAAATGAAGAGGACATTTTTACTGAATGAATCTTGGCATCGAATAACTCTCAATCGACTGGAGTTACCTTTAAATCATAGTATAAACCCATATATATTCATATCACAAATCATAACTTTATTTACTGAGGAAATTTGTCCACAAAATTCAGTTGTTTTTATTTATAAATCAAATTAAAATAAACAGAGAATTTGTTTGAACTTACTGCTTATTATTGGCTAATTTTCTCGTTGCAGCTATAGTTTTTACACTTCTGTGCTTGCCAATTCTAGTAAGTAACTCTAACAAAACTTTTGTTTTCTTTTCTTTACTACTAATTATTGCATCTCTTTTCTCTTCTAATTCACGTTGAGTATTAATTTTCAATTGATTAAGGCGTTCCCTTAATTCAATTATAGACATTTCATTTAATAGACCATGTCCAGGTGTATTGGTTAAATCAATCTACAAAAAATAATGAATTAATATCCGAATTTTTATTTGAGAAATCGATAACTAATTTAACTGAAATAAATTATATTTTAAAACTGTTAACCAATTTTCATCATCTAAATTTTGATTGATAACATCAATTTCAATTTTCGTCGAACATTAAATGAACATAATTAAAACTTAAAAATTAAAAAAGGTCACTATGTATAAATTACTCAGTACCTTATAGGAGGCAGAAAACTTACTTTAAAACAAAACATTGAACACGAGAAAAGAAATTTTAAAGTTACGTTTTCAAAAAAGATCAATCTCACTACTGTCTGGATATTTAATCAAATGATCTGGAAAGATTTTATGACCTTATTTCTAGAATAATTAAACTTGTAAACAATTAGTTCAGTGGTCCGAAAGTACTTTGTCCGTCGCTATACTTGAAGGTTTTGAATTCCATCCTGTGAATGATTCCCAGATATCTCAAGGTGAATTACAACAGCTTTTCTGCCCCCTATCAGATTTTTAATAGCTATCTAGAGTATGTTAGTCCTTAATAGGAACTAAAATAAATCTGACAAAATGTTTTGAACGGTTGCTTTTAAATATTCAGGTGATTTTTGTCACATACCAGTAATGACTGGATAACCATTGAACACCTGACTTTTATAAGAGTTTGTCCAGCATCCTCACATAACATGAGATAAGAACCAGTTCCTAATCATTTTGAGTGAAGCTGAAATTCATACTGAGTCAAAATACAGAGTTAACTAACAACTTGCCAACTATCAGGTTCAAAATTCACCAAATGAACTGAGTATGCAGAAAGTTAATCCAGTCTCAGACTCACCTTCCTTTGTGGTGAACAGTCAACAGTTTTAAGGTGAATATGGTCCAGCATAGTACTCAATCCCCACTCAGAGAATTAACGAAAGTATTTGCTTACAATAAAAGACAAACAATTAAGCCGCCCGCCTAACTAGAAATTTGCAAAGATCATTCAACTAAGCTACTGAAAACTTTGAAGTACCTACCAAGAAACAAGAACCTACTAAAGAAATTTGACAATAACAGGTTAATAATATTCACCACCTAAAAGTCTGTTAATATTGTTTAACAGAATAACTAAGTAAGTGTCGTATCTGGTGTTATTACAACATTTTCCAGGTAACCCGATGGTACTTTTTAATAAAAATCCACCATCACCTTATAATTCTAAAAAGTGGATCTGGATGATGGCTAGCAGAAAAATTTAGAAGGCACGTTTTGCGCTCTTTGGAGCTCGTCAAACGAAAGTACTTGCATCTGAGAACTAAACTCACATCGGGACTCGGACCCATCACCCTTCGCTTCAAACGATATCTTGTTATCAACTTTGTTGCTGGGTTCAGATAGCAACTGGCTTTTTCACCATTGTGAAAGTTAGTCCATTTGTATCTGCTGTTTTTAATTTCATATTGGTGTTCCAGGTGCAATCGATCAGTTTCTTTCAACTTCAAGTCCAGGGACAGACATCAACTCCGAGATATATGTACATCCAGATGACGAGTCCTAAATAGGACAAAACATGTATTCTGGATTCCGTTGTTAGTCACCGTTCATCTCTGCTTATAATGTTTATGACTCAATAGCAATAGCAAGGCAATCCACGGAAAATGCAAGTATACGAAAAAAGACTAATTAATTGGAGTCCTTAGCATCACTGAGAAGATTCGAGAACCCACTAAAACTGAATTATTCATAAAATGTATCTCATGTTTCTGAACATAAAAGTTATTTACCTGTATCTGAATAGCGTTCTACTTTTGACTCACGAAGAGTGCAAATATATTTCAACTCTATCAAAAGTTAAATTACATAAAAATATACTTCTTCATCAAACTACAAATCTCATTTAAATGAAACGTGAAGGCATAAAACAGTGGAATACTGAATTATGATTGACTATTTTACATTGTGTACAAGTTTTGTATATACACAGTAATATCAACATTTTTAGTAAAACTACTAGAAAATGTTTCATGAAAATTACTATTATTTTATATATCTAAAAATTATTAAGATTAGCAATGAAGAGTTATGATCATAATTTTTCGAAAGGCTTGAATTTAGCTGATTTACCATGAGAAAGGCCTTAATTTTGAGCAAGAAGTACACAATTAATAGAAATACAACCATAGTGTTCCATCGAAATTCCTGACTGAATTTTTTATCGTTTCGTAAATTTTTTCTCAGATTATTTACTTCATGGAACTGCAACTACCATCGACAACATTATTTACACTTTCCTGTTGTAAGAAATTCATTTTTTCCAGTGCAGAGAAGTGTCTTGCCAGCTGAACTCGTCAACAATAGTTGTTTAAGTTGGTACTATTATTAGAGAAATATAAAAATTTCACCAGATTAGATGTCATTTTGTAGATGGAAATATGTAACTGCAAGTTACTGTACTCTGAAAATCTGAATGTCATTAATGAAAAGATGTATCGTCAATTAACTAAAACTTTGGGTAAATATGCAACTATTTATTTTTCCTATATATATATACGTCATTCTTTCACTTTGTTCTATCTAGTCTACGACATGGAATCAGCCTAATTTATCCTTTATTTCAGTTAGGAAAATTACTATCAATATTATTGTTTCTGAGAATGACTAATCGACCAAACATAACCTATCAGAAATCCCTCCCTAAACAGATGTACTGTCGTTGACGCTACTGTGTCACCATTATCATTATCACTTTGATCACCATTGTTCAGTGAAGTTCAAACGGGAATGAATACTGCTTAGTCTATGCTCTAGTTCAGTTCAAAATTATCCAGATTTCTTTTTAAACTACTTAAATAAATAAAAGTAGAAATAGCATAATGAATGAAATATCTAAACGGAAACAACGCTGAGTGTTCTTTCATGAAAGTCGAATATGTATTTAATTGTAAACTGAATGACAGTTATTAGACGTCTCATTGCAGGTTAGTGAGGTCAAGACTTTTGAAGTTTCATTTTATACATTTTTCAAAATGTTTCTTGCAATAATTTGGTATTTATCTTATAAGTTTTGCTGATGCAACTTGATGAACAGGAAACTAGAATTTCCCAATAGTTTGACCTTATGTAGTTAAGATGCAAGTGTTTAGTACCTCCACATACATTTGAGTTCGCCTTTATTTAATGTGTTTAAGCCATTTGATTAATTTATTTAACCGAGTTATTTGCTCACCAATAACTTATTTATACCATTGGCTTTTACTATTGCCTGGTTTCTATGAGCTGGTACGACTGAACATTGCGTCCCACCTACGCTAATATTCATCCTACTCGCTTTAATATTAACCTCTTAAATACTTCGATGACTCAGCCATTTTCCTACATATATACATATGTACATTTTAATCTTATTAATTCATTCGCCGATTCGCTCACTCGAGACCTTGTTTACCCTTCGTTCCGTGTGCCTATGGTTTGTGGTGCGCCAAATAGACGTATTCAACACTTCATGTCCGCCTTTTGAATTATAAACCGCGAGGCGCTATTTAGTAACGGTTGTTCGGACTAGCATACGAAATCTAAGAAATGTTAGAAACCGACCGTCACGAAACCAGTGAGACACTGACCATCATAAGTGGGCTTACAAACAATGTGAGACATTACACAGGCTTAGTCTGAATAATAACCGAAAAGCCGGAATTTAATTCACCTTCTCTAACAAAGTCTTTGACAACAGGCATTTAGAGTTCTTCCTATGTCTACTTGCGGAGAATCTTAAACGTTCTACCTATGATATCTACTGATTTGAGCAGTAAAATCAAGTTCAACTAAGATACTTGACATGCGTTTTTGAATGCAGATTATTTTTTTTTATTTACCAAATTGTATGAGTTATATTATTTCATAAAACTACACTTTGATTCCAAGCTCCCGATTCCTGGTTTCTGAATTTGTTTGGTTCATCCCATCACAGAAACTGTAGACTTTATAACATTATCAGTAAATGATAGATTAACCTAAATATTAAAGCAACATTTTTGTGAGTAAAAAGCTTGATGAGAGTATGTTTAGTCATTAGCATTCACAAGCTAGTGATTTTTCCATTCAAATAAAAACCTCTAGCCAAGATTTTTAGTAAACGAAAGTGGAAGTTAGTTTCCGAAATGTAACTTAATGTAGTCGACAGAACTAACATCAGCAGATGATGCAAACGGCGAAACATGTTTTCAAAGCAATTTTCCATAAGAATATTGCTAGAACTTCTAATAAACACTAACATCTTAGTACAAACAAGCTCCTTTCCTGCTGAAACCAACTCACTGTCATGGTTAAGAAGAACTATTCTTACAAAGTTACGAGTTTTATTTCGGCATGTAAAGTACAGCATCAACGAGCTGTTCCAACAATCAAAACTGTTTTTTTAAATCCCTTGGCTTTCGTTTCAGTATTTTAGTCAGATAACCTACTTTCTAGCTCACTTTTATTTAAACTTTTATCCCTTTCTTTTTCATTCACCTTCACATTTCAAAGAAAATCATTTTAAATCAATTAAAGAGGAACGTAACAACGGTCTCATCAAATGCTATAAAACACAGTTTAAAGTTTTGCGAAAAAGGTACACGAAGCTCACTTAAGTAAAAATGTTATTGGCCACTGGCAAATAGTACTACAAGTTTATCATATTATTTCAAAAGACTAATGTATAAAGAATATGAAATACTTCTAATTCATTTATATTAAGCTCACTTGTTTTGTATTTTGTGATTTCACCATTATAGCTGATAGTTCTTCTGCTTGAATCTGCTTTATCAATTCCTTTTTCATTTTTATTTCCTCTTGAGCTTTTATTTCAGCTTCGTCTAACAGATGTTTGCTTTCCTTAAGTATTTCGCCAGCTGTAAATTAATTGACTTAAAATAGTTCTTCAAATAAAACAAATTTTTTTATGCGAAATGGACGCATTTATTTAAAATTGCAAACAGAACACTAGTAATAGTCTTGGGCCAACAAATCAATCAGAAGAAAAACATTTAGAAACCCATTTGATGTGTAAGTGTCAGTGATATGAAAGCTACTGTTTAATTTCAAGAGGTCAAATTGAATGGTATTATCACTTAAATGCGAGTTGCGGTCTATGGAATTGTAATTTTGTATAATTAGGGACTGTCACTCAAACGTTTATGGAGAATGAAACCAATCAATTTGAGAATGTAAACAATTTAAACCCTAAGTACATTGGCTCTGATATATTTACACTAGTCTGCTTCTATATTCAGGTCATTCTACTGGTTAGAAGTATGTAAAATAAAGATGACAGATTTACTGTTTGTCAAATGTTTGTAAAATTAAGGTCACCTAAAATATCATTATCTGCAACTTCCTGAATCCTTTCAGTTTTAAAAGTTTGGTAAGGTGTAGATATATAGGACGTAAAGGGTAAAAAAGAATGTTGTCAATTCAAACCTTCGGTGTCTAATCAAAGTTTCTATTTTTGGATACTTGTAACAATATCACAACTTCAGGGGAATCAGTCCGATAGAATCGTTTTTACCACTTCATAGGCTATCATTCATTTACTAAATGGAATAACTTTACAAAAACTTCGTACAGTTTGAAGATTCTCCCCCCCCCACCGTTATCTAATTTAAATTACCAAGGCATTGAACATCATTGAACAAATGATAGTTTAATCATATAAATAATAAAACAAAAAGAAACGTATTGTATAAATAAACCTGATTTCTTTTTCTCCTCCATCAATTTCTCCTTTGCAATTTTTGCATTTTCATGCGAACTAGCAACTTCTTTCGCTATTTTATTCAGTTTATCCTGTTGTATTTTCTTTTCATTTAAGGATTCCAACAGTTTGGCACGCTTTTCATTTTTCAAATTATTAGCTGCAATTCGTCGTTTACAGTAAAGATTGAATTTAGCGGTTGATGATGCCTCATGACTTATCATTACATTTAAACGATTACGCTCCATTTGTTTTAATTGGTTAAATTTCATTTTCATCTCCTCCTCATGCTTCCAAGAATTATAAGCTGCATTTGTGAACGCACCGGATTCTAATTCACAAAGTCTGTGGTGGAAAGTTTTTGAGAAATAAAATTATATTCTTTGCTTGTTCTTGAAATGATTTTGCAGTAAAAGTATAGCTTTCAACGTCATCTAAGCCAATCTGAATGATGTAACTTATTATTATGAAATGAAAACTCTACTAACAATGTAGCTTCATCAGCTCCATAGAGGATTAGCACAATCATTCACACCCAAAGCTTATATTGACTTGTACTTTTTTCAAAACATTCTGCTCACGTACTCTAGTTATATAATTAAATTACTGAATCAAAAAATGACCAGGTTTAAGTTCAAATACACCATTTAAAATAATAGCTTGTGAATTTAGGATTGTTTGTAATACAAATCATTAGTGTTGAGATGACTAATATGAAGTGTTCATAATTTCACTTTAGGTATCAACTTATCCAAGTGAACACTTTACATCAGTCACCTCAATATTTACAGTTTATATTACAAGCAATCCTAAACTCGCAAGTAGTCCCACTATAAATAATCTTATGAGCAAGAAAATCATATGTTGTTCAAGTTACACAAAATTCTAACTATTTATTTATAAACTAATAAAAAAAAGCTCAGGAAAATACAAAATCACAGTTACTTTACTACACAACTATCACTGACATAAAATTAATCAGTTAGAAGTTTCTGCTTTGATTATCTTGTGAAACATTGTATTATTTTCTAATATTTGTCCGCTTGGTCCTTACTTGCGGTAAAAACTGACAAAGTAGATAAGCTTGTGGAGAGCTTTTATTATTAGTTATGAAATCGTTCTTCAAAATATATCATGATTTTAAAGAACTTAACTAGCCTAAAATGCTCAGAAATGAAATAGATTACCTAACAATGATCAACTTTTTCACGTTTTTACCTTTCTCAGCTAGATATTCGTAGGTGAAAATGTCAAACGACAGAGTATATGATTACCGCGATGAATAACACAAATGTGAGAATTTTATTATTACTATTATCATTATTATTATTGTTTTCTTTCTCCGGTTATCAGTAAACACTGAATTCGATATACCTATAAGGATAAAATGCTTTCGAACAAAATCAAATTGTACAAAGTTTGTTATACTTCTATTTCAAAGAAAATTATTCATGTAAAAAGAAGTCACACAAATCTCACTTTTGCCTTTGTTCCTTTTCTCTGTCTGAATACAATTTCCACTCACGTAATATACTAACGGTATTTGTATTAACCACTGCGGATTTGTTTAATATCGATAAATAATTTTTTTTATTTGAGCTGTTTTTGTGACTTTCTAGTTTGTCTGAAGAATTCATCATACTTCTATCACTGCTGGTACTATCATCTATGTTGACTGTGGAATTATTTTTCAAGCTATGATCACTTTGATTGTTTATTGTTTTTTTAACATTACGATTAATCTCTGCACATTTTGGTTTGAGTCTATCGCTCTGAATCTTTAACTTTTCAATCTTTCAACATAAAAATAATGCGAAAATTTCATTAATTATGATAAAAAAATAAACTGTTTCATTAGTTATTTATAAAAGAATGAAAGAAAAGATTTGTCAAATTATCGCAAACAGTTGAAATGTTGTTAAATTTTAATAACCATTGAACCTACCTACTTGCCAACACATGTGCCTAGTACAAGTCGAGAATGGCTGAAATAACCAAGCAGTTGACACAAGTTGTAAAACTGCCAGAATTTATTCTACTTTCTCCCAAAAATTAAATAATTTAACCAATTTTTTCACGTAGTATGTTGTTTCCTCAATGCACCTTCTCTCAATATATTTTGCTATAATACGATAATTTGTTATCTATAGAATTCTAGAATTTCCAAGGATATCTTGTACTATTACTCACGATGTTGGTACGATGATTTGATATTCACTTACGTTTTATATTCAGAACCTAATTTGTTAATCTGTATTATTATATCATTATATTTTACGAAGGTCGAAAGATGAAATAAAGAAAGGAAACAATATCGATTTCATGTACAAAATAAATTGCACTCTGATAAACTATTTATTAGGCACAAAAAGTTGCATTCGTTCTCCCATAAATGAACACAACTCAACAACAAACGGAAGGACATTTCGGTAATCATATCGGTGTGCATGAAATATCACAAATACATGGTCGATTAGAAAAACTTCAGAATTCTAGGTCAAGAGAACTCAACGAGTCTAAGAGGTCTTTTGGAAGCTTGGTATTCAGATAGATCTCAAATCGGTCTTGATCTTGTTTACAAATAAGTGTGAAAAAGGAAACTGATGTATCGGCCAGATAAAAATGAAGGAATGCGTTAGCAGGAATATAAAAACAAATAAAATTAGCAAACTATGGAGCTTTCATTGTTCTTCTGAACAAGATCATCAGCACAGTCTTCAGGTAGAAGTAAAGCACTTGAATGTTTCCCTGTGCATAGATAGCTGCATATTGGTAAACTGAATATTTTTAGGCGATTGGAAGTTTTACGATCGGATTAAAGATATAACTAGAACGTCTAAAACACGTATATTGTAACTCACTGCATACATTCTGATGATAACAAATAAGTATGGTTTAACTTTGAGATATTAGTTGTTTAATCGATAAATCTGAGGTCTTATTTTATTCATTAATCATATTTACCAAAACGTATTCAAAATGTCGAATAAAAATAGAACGAAAAAAAAATTTCTAGGGCTTAGGGTCATACTTGTTGACGATTTTTGTTTTTTTCCATAAGTAATGATGAAATTTCCGGGGGTTGATTATAAGTGGACAATGGAGGGTCGCGCATCTTTTGCATTTTCGGAATCTGAAAAGGCATATATATTAGTGATCTGTATATATAAATTTTGATATACTACAATGTCTGGTATAAGAATAGATCGGGGTTTGGGTTGCGTTAGCCTGAATGGTTGAATTTCTATTAAATATAGAGTTAAATCAACTGATTCTGTATTTGTATGATAGTTACCTGTAATCTTCTTATGATGTAAATTACTTTTTTCTGATCCAAGAGATTTTTGCAAAGCCATAAATACAGGCTTCCATCTACAAAATAATTGAACATTAACTATCTAACTTAACTTAACCATTATTAAATATCGAAAGTACTTAGCAAACGTTGGTCAGCATAGAAAGCAATTTCCCTGGACACATGACCAAAACCATGTTTTTTACTGTAACATCTAGTATCTTAAACTTGTAAAAATCAAAGCTAGTCATTAAAATGGGGCAATTAAACCCATTTTAAATGTATGCGACCTTATGGAATAAAGCTCTAAGGGTTTATTCAAGAAGTGGGGATCAAGTTTACATCTAACTGACGAGTTCCAATTAAGAAGAATGCACATCCTAGATTGCACCAATAACCGCAGTTAATATCATGATCGTAGCTGCTACCTTGACGTGGTGGCTGGGTTTACCTATCGTGACGAAACAACCGAGTTATAATGGCTGGAAAATATGTTTCTTCAGGTTCAACCATGACAGACAGGTAGATTGAAACTAAAAGCAGCAACTCATGGTGTGAGAGCAAAGTAGTACTGCAGACTGTAGAGGGGTTTCACAGCAGTAAGGTGTTTCCCTAAAAAAACCAGCATTTGCAGCGATGCTGCTTTCTTACAAGGAAGGAGGGAGTTAGAAAAGGTTGGCCCTAAAAATATCGCACCTTACTATACGTCACGGAATTCTGTCTCCGGCCGTAAAGCCATTTAAAGAGTGAAGCTAACGCTTCGAATAAAAACAAAAAGGCCATGTCTGACTGAATTCAAGCAGTTTACCCCGAGCTTAGAAGCCACGCTCGCAGGACTCTGAGACCATAACAAATCTAACATCATTTTCATGTTCTCATGAAATACCTTTCCATGGTGTGGGCAGCTAAGAAGTGACATCCCCCCTCAGAACCGTAACAGCGCACGTGACCAAATTTGTTACCGTCAAATTCTTCTTACACTTGCGAATAACTCTTTTTCTATCTAAGCTAAGAATATATTTCAGGGAAGAGAATGAAAGAAGTTAGGCAGCCATATAAGCAATGCACACCCTGAGGAACCTTGGATTGATATACGCAAAGCTGTTTAAGCAGCTGTGATATCTGCTTGTGTGGTAGACCATAAGTTTAGGGAAAAACAGTGAATTTCAGTAACATCTACTGAACCGATGGATGCTCGAAAGCCCATCCGGTCTGGCGTGAAAGGTGGTGGGTAGCGAAAGCAAGGGAGGAAGAAAAGGCAACAGCAATAAGCGACAGTAGACTACTGTACAGACTCATCAGAGAAACCGGTGTAAGGAATCCGACTGTAAGCGAGACTATCTCAAAATTAAAAAATATCTGATTCAAAACAGTTTTCTGCTGATATTCGGAAGGTTTTCTGAAGTATTTCAAAAGCAAGTTAGCCTACCTGACTATGCTGTTTATAGAACAAACTAACCTTTCAATGGGTTTTATCAGGACAATATCCGTAAACGATTCATCATAAATATGAATCCATTCTGATTTAAGTTCACTCATTGCTTCAGATGAACATAAAAGTCTGAGAAACTAAAGAAACATGCATATTTTAGTGAACCTACTTCTTTACAATATTGAGCTTTCATGCAAAGAAGAAAGCGTTGCAATCCGTTTTCTTCAAAGGTCTCCATTCCAAAGAGCGATACATAGAAAAGAACTGTAAAAATTACGGCTATTTAATTAAGCGTCATGTGGTAACTTTATCTGTAAGTTGTCTCATGCATAAATCAGTTAATGTGTGCGACTTTAAATTTGCTTAAATGAAGAATCCGCTGGACTGTAAACTATTGATAATAACTTTACTCCATTGTGTTAGAACGATTAAAAATAAACTAAACTCACTTTAGTAATATTTTTATCATTTTGCCACAATTTATGGTATATAATAATAATTAAAGAAGAATCAGAAAAATGTAAGCTACTGAAAGCCATCTCAGCGGTATAAAAGATGAGCACTTGCTGTCACACCTAAAAACTTCCTGCATATCTACTAAGATGGTCATGGATGCATTATCCCAAGTCCCACACAGGCAAGTAAAAGCTGTGCATCACCTCCCGGTTTTCGTTCGATGTTTAACTCATAAAAATAAAGAAAATTATTGATGAAATTTTAATGAGGGTGAAAATGATAAATGACCGTCACTTAACATGTAGCATTTTTTTTAAAATTAAACAGTGGTCATTGTATTATTAAGTTATCAAAACATTTCCAGTACACAAAGAAGTTTAAGGATCATGAAATATCAGAAATAGAACGATTGGTACCTAAAATTTATGAGGATTACCTCCTGGTCTGGTAAACACAAAAAGCTCTTACAAGTTGCAGATGAAGTCAGTTGAAATCTTTAAGCTGATTTAATATTAATAGGTAATTAATAATGACTATTGTTTCTTGGGTCACCTACGAATATGCACTTGCATTAAAACGTGTAATTATATATTTAATTATAAAATCGTAGCTTCTAGTGCAGTTTTAAGACACACTGGAGACAAAATTATTTTATCAAGGAAGATAATTACTGCATTATAATGTGAATTAACTTACAAACGAACTCGCTTTTCAGTGAAGGAAGTAAAGTGAAACTGCAAAACTCGTAAAGTTTCGCTACACACAGCTTTAATATATTTCGATACTTCATTATTTCAGTGTATATTTCAAATGACTGATTAACATCGTTTGACTTATCCATAAAATCCTTGGATATGAATAAGTTTAAGAAATTATTACTACTTCTTGTGACAAAGCCGTAACGTCTGTAAGCCAGAAATATTTCTTTATAAGTGAAACAGTCTCTTGAAACAGCTTATGAAATTCTACCATAACTTTTGAAAATGCACTGTTTATGATTACTCTGGGTCAAGGGCATATAAATTCACAATATGAATCCAAGGTGTTCAATCAGTAGTGTAGTTTAAGTTAGCAAAGAAAGAAAGCGAACGTTTTTATTTACACCTAACATTCATATTTCTAATATCATGTGATTTCTGACTGGTAAAGTCAGCAATAGGTTCTCATTACAAAAACGAGAAGCTTACTTAAAACTTTCTTTGCAAATTCGCTAACACAGGTTCAGTTCTGGGTAATAAAAGAGTCTTGTTAGTTGCGGAAGGATGTGGTAATTTATGTTCTGTTTCAGGAAACCGAAATTCAAAATCATGGTGATTTGGATGAAAATATCTACAGAACTAAAATAATAGTCGAGTAACTGTTTGTACTGGTCTTTGTGCAACCTTTTCCGCATTCCATCTTCAGTAAATGTTATCTTATATTCAACTTAATACTCAAGTGTATCACTGGTCTATAGTTCAAGTGATAGAAAGCTATACTGTATAGCGAGGTCATGTCCTTCATAGTTTTCTTGTATTTATGTTCAAACACAGTCACTATTAAAATGCAGTGTTTTAACCTCGTGCTTGAAGAACTTGTAGTGAAACTATTTTCTGAATAAAACACAATTGCTGACATATAAATACTTATTACTGAACATGTGTAACAATAAATGTTTTACATATTTTGTTTATCTGTACAAAAAGCCATAACTCAAGCGCCAACATCGCCAACCGTGTGGCTTTATTGATCGTTTCTTGTTATCTCACTGTCTGGATGAACACGTGATATCATTTTGATATCGCGCAACTTCCAGTCGATAAATATCGTTATTCTGTGACTGGATTATACTTGGTCTTAATTCGTTTGGGAGTTTTCGCCTAGCAATCATCGTAAGAACTACAAACTTGTCAGCTGACTAAAGCATTCCCCTTCTTCCTTACTACCACACGTGAACCACACTTTGTGTTGTTCATCTATGTCGTCATCGAACCCAAAACACTAAATTTCTCTTCATATAGTGGCCCTAGTTTATCGCCAATAAAAATGAAACTACTATCGGACGAATAGTATCATTCACAGTTCGAAGAATAAATGTGTAGCGACATAGTTCATTATGACTTCAAGGTTTAGCTACTTGAGATTGCCACGTTGTTTAAACTTCTTGAGCCAAAAATGTCTGGTTTTAATTTTTTAATGTGATGAGAAGGACGCTCAAATCACCCCAAAACGTAAAGGAAGGTGTGGAAGTCCAGTGTAATAGTAAGGTTTATAGCGAGTGGGAGACCATAAATACTTTTACAGTGCCCAACAAAAGTACAATACTTAATAATTCAGATCTTAGTTAAGCTCATTTAATGATCTGTTGTTGGGTAATAAAGAGTCATTTTCACTGGATATTTAGATTTAAATCATTTGACGCTATCCACAATTCTTCTCCATGAAAAAATATTCCAATTTACTGAATGAAAGCAAATAAATCTACAGCTGCCAACTAAAATGGGATCTTTAGTTAAATACTCCATATGGCATATGACATTCACCTACTCAGTGGACTGTAAAGTGCCTGAAAACGCTAAATAATGCACACGCGTTGAACATTGAAAGATAATTAAACAAACCATTCCCGCCAACCAACTTTTAGATGATGTCTGGATCTCTCAATAATGAGGAGTTTAAGTCAATATCATTTTGAAATGCTTACAAACAAACTCTATTTCCGTGCTTTCAGTAACAGATATTTTCTGGATTATGATCGAACGACAAGCATGCTAATGAGATATCTGTATCCTAAATACCACCATGAATCTTCTGTCTACTGACCATTTTTTAACGCTACGCATAAAGAAGAATTGAACATGATTGTAATGTGGTTATGTATATTTCCCATATTTAGTTGAGCGAACAGAGGACAACAAGTATATGTGGATTTTTCGAAGCATAAAATTCATTCGAAGTATTT